CCTCCTCTGAATGCAGGTTGTACCATCTTCCTGTATGTAACTATATTAAAGCTAAATACATGAGGGTAGGGACTGTCTATCTTGTTTGTTACTGTCTTGGTTTGGGTTTCCACAGAAGCAGACCCTGGGTTAAGCAGACCCTTACGTGCAAGCAATTTATTTGAGAGGCGATCCCATGAAACACTGATAGGGGAGGAAGACAGGGTAGGGAAGTTAGCCCAAAATGAATCATTACTAAACAAGTTAGCATCATGGGTAAGTGGAACTTAACTCCACTGGAAAACTTAGGAAATAGGGTATTACACACATCTCAGAACTGTCCCACCTGAGGAGTAAGGGAACTTGGGTATTTATATGACAGTTTCCATTAGTCATTGGTTTAGGGCTGCCCCCATGTAACATTAATGGTACATCCACATGGAAAAGAATGATCCATAATCCCTACCTCACTTCACACAAAAATATAATGCAAGAAGGATCATATGCCTAGCTGTAAAAGTTAGAACCATAAAATTTCTGGAAGAAAATGTGGGAGGATAAGTGTGCACCCTTAGGGTGAGCAAAGTTTTTTTTAGGCAAGACATGGAAAACACTATTAAAACCACCCAAAAAATTAATTAAAAAGTACTTAATCAAAATTAAAAACATCTGTTCTTTACAAAAACATTGTTAAGAAAATGAAAAGGCTAGTAATGGAATGGGAAAATATTTTCATTACATATATCTGACAAAGGACTGGTGCCCAGAATATATAAAGAACTCCTACAAATCAACAATGTTCAATGATTTGAACAGACACTTCACACATAATGTATACAAATGGCCAATAAGCAAATATCATTCATCATCAGGGAAATGTAAATTAAAATTCCAGTGAGCAACCACTACACATCCACCAGAATGGCTCAAACTAAATACTTAGTAAGGCAAATATCAGCAAGGATGTGGTCACGTCAGCAACTGGAACTCTTATATTTCGCTGATGGGAGTGCAAAGTGGCACAATCACTATGGAGAACTCTTTGGCAGTTTTTTACAAAGTTAAATATACATCTCTCTAAGACCCAGAAATGATATTTCTAGGTATTTATTTATTTATTATATATTTTTTGAGATGGAGTCTCGCTCTGTCACCCAGGTTGGAGTGCAGTGGTGTGATCTTGGCTCACTGCAACCTCTGCCTCCCAGGTTCAAGTGATTCTCCTGTCTCAGCCTCCCAAATAACTGGGATTACAGGTGCCCACCACCACGCCCAGCTAATTTTTGTATTTTTAGTAGAGACAGGGTTTCACCATGTTGGCCAGGCTGGTCTCGAACTCCTGACCTCAGGTGATCTGCCCGCTTTGGCCTTCCAAAGAACTGGAATTACAAGCATGAGCTACTGCACCTGGCCCTCTAGGTACTTATTGAAGATAAATGACAACACACATCTACAAAAAAAAAAAAAAAAAGAAAGAAGGAAGAAAAAAAAGCTTGTACAAAAATGTTCATAACAGCAAAAACAAACAAAAAACTAGAAAGCATCCCAAATGTCCACCAACAGGTGAAAAAAAGCAAACTGTGAAGTAGTCATATAATGGAATGCTATTTAGCACTAAAAAGGAATGAATTATTGTCACATGCAACAACATGGATGGAGCTAAAAAAAACAAAATTACACTGAATGAAATAAGCATATATAAAAGAAAATACTCTGTGTGATTTCGTGTATATAAAGTCCGGGAACAGGAGAGCTAAGGTGATAAATCGACCAGTGGTTGCCCTTGCAGGGTGGTCTGATTTGAGTACCAGAAAGGAGGCACTCACAAGGGAACCTGGTGGTTTTGAAAGTGTTCTATATTTTGTTTTGGATGGTGGTTACATGAATTTACATAGGTGTCAAAACTCACCTAATTGGATATGTGAGATCTGTGCTTTTTATTATCTAAAATTATGCCTTAATAAAGATTACAGCTTTACCTTTTAAAAAGAAAATACATTAGCCATTAACAATAGTGGATAATTTGCTCAGTGTTCTACCCTCTACTAGATTGTGAGCTTCAAGACAGCAGAAGCCCCATTTGTTTTGCTCTCTACTATATGCTCAGCACCTAGCATAGCACCTGGGATCTCCTGAGTGCTCAAGTCATATTTGTTAATATTATAAGTTTGTGAGAGCTTCTGTGCATTGAGCTGTGGCTTTATCATATCTCCCTTTGCAGACATGATCTGTTCTTGGCAGACGCTGGTGGCCCCAGAAGCTCAAGCACAGGTGCATTGTCTAGGAAGGGAGCTTGCAGGTGGGAACCCAGCAGGGCCCTGGGTGTCCTTGGGCACTGACAGGGTCCCAACTGTGAGCACCATCTGCTCCTGCGAAGGGTGTCTGACAGCAGCAGCAACCCTGGACCTGGAAGGTGAGTACCTCTGAGACCCAATGTCAGGCTCCCATTCCCATCCTCCCTGCCTGTAGGGAGTCCACAGAAAGTCACTTTAACCCTGGAAATAGAAAGCACCAACATATGTACCACTTTGTAATTTACCAAGTGTTTTCCCACATATGTTCTTATTTTATCTTCTCGATGACCCTGTAAAGTAGTTGTTTAATAACACTATTTTACAGAGAGGTTAACTGACTTCAACAAGGTCACACAGCTGGGAACTGACAAACCTGGGATTCAAACCAAGTTTTTAACCATTTATTCCTACATTAAATGCAGTATTGCTGTGTCATTTATGGACCTTCAGAAGCTATTTCTGAAACCCCACCCCTTTGGTAAGCTTTACTAGACTGCTGGAAAGATAAGTAGTGGACCCCTCTTGCCTTTAATCCAATGTATCCCATATGCTTCCGAGATATTAACCTACCTGGACCACTACTAGGATGGAGTCATTCTCCTATGCAAATTTTTCATATTCCTCATCACCTACCAAGTAAAATTCACATTCCTTAGCTGCTGTTCAATACTCTTTTGTCCCAGCTCACCTCTGTAGCCTCATTTTCCTTAAAAAACAACTTTGCATTCTAGCTAGTCATGTCATTATCCTCATTTCCACAACTTTACTCCTCAACTTCTCCTTCACATGGAACAACAGTTCCTGCCATCCTCCCTTGGGAAATTTTTCTCACCCTTCAAGTCCTAACTCGAATACCACTGCCACTCCCTATTCGGAAGATTTTTACTTCATTTGAACCCTGAGAGCACATGGTTTGTACCTTTCCGGTGGCATTAACTGTCAGGTGTCATGGGTATATTTGCACCTTGTTTGTCTTCCTTATTAGATCCTGTGGTCCCAGAAGGTTAGATACATGGCTTATCCGTTTCTGTAGCCCCTATGGTGACTAGCATAGCTGTTTGCACACTGTAGATATTTAATTGATGCTTTGTAGAGTGAATAAATTACCACCTATCCAACCATTGTCTATGAATTGAATATCCTTTGGTATACATAGCTTTAAACATTGTTTGTGTTTTAATTCTATTTTATGTATTTGGTTAGCATAGTCTCTACCCTCTGTATACTTTGCTTCTAACTTGACATAGATTGCATGAATATCTAAATTCTTTGCAAATGAGGTGGACACATGGATATTGTGGAATCCACAGCTCTACTCTGGCTCTGTCGTTCACTGATTGTGTAACCTTGGACAAACCACATCTACTCTCTGGATTATTTTATTTTATGAGACAGAGTCTTACTCTGCAGCCCAAGCTGGAGTGCAGTGCGACAATCTCGGCTCACTACAACCTCCGCCTCTGGGGCTCAAGCAATTCTTGTGCCTCAGCCTACCGAGTAGCTGGAGTTACAAGCGTGCGCCACCACGCCTGGCTAAGTTTTTGTATTTTAGTAGAGACGGGGTTCCCCATGTTGCCCAGGGTGGTCTCGAACTCCTGAGCTCAGGCAATCTGCCCGCCTCGGCGTCCCAAAGTGCTGGGATTACAGGGGTGAGCCACTGTGCCGGGTCACTGGACCTTACTTTGCCTCCATCTATTAGATAGGGGTAATAATCCCCATTTTGCTTCTTTAATTCACCACAAGGTTGTTGGGAGGATAAAGGAAATAACAGATGTGTAAGTGCTTTGCCGCCTATAAATCACCCAGAGATGTCATTTCATTGCATCTGCTGTTGGATGTAGGCACATCTTTTGCTGCTGGCAGCCCCCACCCATCTGCTCCTCTCTTTCGGTGAAAAATTGACTGTCGGGTGGCAGGGAACGTCGAGGAGCGGCAGGATGGATGATGAGGAAGTAACCAGGTCTCCTGAATGGCGTGTGGAACTGGGGCTTTGTTGTGGTGGGTGTGAGGTGAAGTGGGGACACTGTCTTCTGAAAGGCCGCTCTGAGGAAGGGAAACGCGTGTGTCCAGGCAGCCTCAACTACCAGCCTAGTCCCAGTGTGTAGGTTACAGGGAGTCAGCCAGTTTGGGAAACTTCTCAGACTCAGAGCTGCAGAAGTTGACATGGGCTGCCCGAGGGAAGGTGTGGGCCCGAATGCTGTGCAAGCGCGACTTCAACTTCCACTAATAAGAGTCACGACCGCCCTACAGTGTAGAAGTGACGGCCGGGCGCGGTGGCTCAAGCCTGTAATCCCAGCACTTTGGGAGGCCGAGACGGGCGGATCACGAGGTCAGGAAATCAAGACCATCCTGGCGAACACGGTGAAACCCCGTCTCTACTAAAAAAAATACAAAAAACTAGCCGGGCGAGGTGGCGGGCGCCTGTAGTCCCAGCTACTCAGGAGGCTGAGGCAGGAGAATGGCGTAAACCCGGGAGGCGGAGCTTGTAGTGAGCTGAGATCGCGCCACTCACTCCAGCCTGGGCGACAGAGCGAGACTCCGTCTTAAAAAAAAAAAAAAAAAAGAAGAAGTGACCATCTCGGTGCCCAAGGTCAAGAGAGACCCCCTAGGCCCGGAAATGCCCTAGGCTGGAATCTTCGGAGCCTGCCAATTGGCTTCCACTGAACGGGAGGGTGGGCCTTGGGGCGTTCTGCTTACTGATTGGTTGGATACCAGATTGGCAGGTCCCTGCCGGCTGTGCGTGTGTTGAGGGCGGACATGGCGGAGGCAGGAAAAGTACCCTTGAGCCTCGGGCTTACCGGAGAAGAAGCGACAGAGTGGCCTCTGCAGCGGTACGCCCGCTGCATACCCTCAAACACCAGAGACCCACCTGGGCCACGCCAGGAAGCTGGGACAGCCCCTTGCTCCACATGGAAGGTGAGGCCCAAAGGCGGGAATATTCCTGAGGCGCCCACAGCCCTGAGGAGGGGAGGCTCTACATATATACGGGGCCAGTGCCCTGAAGCGATGCCGAAGGGACACCAAGCGACTGCCAGGCATGTTGGGGAATGGCCAGGCCGACAACTAAGATAGAAAATACATACATAGCAGTAGGAGACATGGTTGGAACCTTTACAGTCTCAAAATAATTATGCAAGGGAGTAGTAAACATTCATATATTCATGTGTATTTATTGAGCGTCAGGTATGTGCTAGACTCTATTCGGGGTGCTAGGGATGGAGCAGTGAGCAAGATATAAACGCTCCCCACCCTTATTGATGTTTTTAGTTTAGTGGAGAATACACTATTTATCCAAATAACTAATTACAGAAGGGACAACTGAGTCATCCCGTAACCAAGCACTCACACAGGTCTAGATTTGAATCCTCGCGTTGCCAGTGAATTTCTGTGACCTTGCTTTAGTTACTTAACCTCTCTATGCCTTATTCACTTTGTCTTAAAATAGAGATAATAATATAATAGTACAGGCCCTCAGAAATACTGGTGTTCGGTTCCAGATCATCATAATAAAGCAAGTTACGAACTTTCTGGCTTCTCAGTGCATATAAAACCTATGTTTGCACTATACTGTAGTCTATTAACTTGTCTAAAAGAATTATGTCTAAAAGGAAAATGTATATACCTTGATTCGAGAATACTTTATTGCTAAAAAATGTTAACACTCACCTGAGCCTTCAGCAGGTCAGTCTTTTTGCCACTGGAGGGTCTTGCTTCATGCTCGTGGCTGCTGACTGATCAGAGTGGTGGTTTCCCAAGGTTGGGGTTGCTGTGGCAATTTCTTAAAATAAGACAACAATTCAGTTCGTCACATGGATTGCCTCTTCCTTTCAGGAAAGATTGCTCTGTAGCATGCAATGCTGTTTAATGGCATTTTTACCCACAGTAGAACTTCTTTCAAAATTGGAGTTAATCCTCTCAAATTTTGCTGCTGCTTTATCAACTAAGTTTATGTGATATTCTAAATACTTCGCTGTCATTTCAGCAATGTTCACACCATCTTCACCATGAGTAGATTCCATCTTAGGAAACCACTTTCTTTGCTCATCCATAAAAAGCAACTCCTCATCTCTTCAACTTTTATCATAAGATTATAGCAATTCAGTCCCATCTTCAGGCTTCACTTCCAATTCTAGTTCTCTTGCTCTTTCTACACATCTGCAGTTCCTGCCTCCGCTGAAATCTTGAACCCCTCAAAAGTCATGCGTGAGGGCTGGAATCAACTTCTTCCAAATTCCTGTTAATGTTGATATGTTGACCTCCTCCCATGAATCACAAATGTTCTTAATGGTATCTAGAATGGTGAATCCTTTTCAGATGTTTTCAATTAACTGCCCAGATCCATCAGAGGAATCACTAGCTATAGAAGCTATAGCCTTATAAAATGTATTTCTTAAATAATAAGACTTAAAAGCTGACAATTACTCCTTGATCATGGGTTGCAGAATGAATGTTGTGTTAGCAGGCATGAAAACAACATTCATCTCTTTGTACATCTCTATCCAAGCTCTTGGGTGACCAGGTGCCTTGTTAATGAACAGTAATATTTTGACAGGAATCTTTTTTTCTGAGCAGTTGGTCTCAACAGTGGGCTTAAAATATTCAGTAAACCATGCTATAAACAATTGTGCTATCATCCAGACTTTGTTGTTCTATTTATAGAGCACAGGCAGAGTAGATTTAGCACAGTTCCTAAGGGCCCTAGGACTTTCAGAATGGTAAATGAGCATTGGCTTCAATTTAGAGTCTCCAGTGGGATTAGCCCCTAATGCAAGAGTCAGCCTGCCCTTTGAAACTTTGAAGCCAGGCATTGACTTCTCCTCTTTAGCTATGAACATCCTAGATGGCCTCTTCTTCTAAGAGAAGGCTGTTTTGAATATGTTAAAAAATCAGATCAGGCTTTGGCTTAAGGGAATGTTGTGACTGGTTTGATCTTCTATGCAGACCATTACAACTTTTTCCATTTCAGAAATAAGGCTGTTCCACTTACGATTCCTGTGTTCACTGGAATAGCATTTTTAATTTCCTTTAAGAACTTTTCCTTTGCATTTACAACCTGGCTAACTGGCATAAGAGGTCTAGCTTTTGACTTATCTTGGCTTTCAACATACCTTCCTTGCTAAGCTTAATCATTTCTAGCTTTTGATTTAAAATGAGTGATGTGTGATTTTTCCTTTCACCTTAACACTTTGAGGCCATTGTAGGGTTATTAATTGACTGGATTTCAATATTGTTACGTCTCAGAATAGTGAGGACCAGGGAGAGGGAGAGAGACAGAGCAAAGGCTGGTGGATGGAGCAGTTGGAATATACATATCATTTATTGATTAAGTTCACTATCTTCTATGGGCATGGTTTGTGGCACTCCAGAACAACTGCAATAGTAACATCAGTACAATAGTAACAATGGTGATCACAGATCACCATCAGATATAATAATAATGAAAAAGCTTGAAATATTGTGAAAATTACCAAAATATGATACAGAGACATGAAGTGAACACATGCTGTTAGAAAAATGGCACTGAGAGACTTGATTGATGTGGGGTTGCCACAAACCTTCAATTTGTAAAAAATGTAATATCTGTGAAGTGCAATAAAGCAAAGTACAGTAAAGGGAAGTGTGCCTGTACCTACTTCATAGGATTATTTTGAGCATTGAATAAGCTAATACGTATCAATCACCTAAAATAGTGCCTAGTATGTGTTAAGTTACATAGGGGTTTGCTATTATTATTATTTTGTTCTAGTGGTATGTTTTAACACCATGGGTTGCCAGTCATTCAGTTCCCTTTTGTCTGGTTTGACTACTGGATGCGGAATCTGGGATTTTGGATTATACACATACATGTATGTCACATGTGTGCACACATGCATACATGTTTGTGTATTTTGGGCAGCAGTAGGTAGGAGAAGAATTAAAGAGAATAAAGGTCCCAGGTAGCTGGGCGTGATGGCTCAGGCCTGTAATCCAGGCACTTTGGGAGGCTGAGGCGGGTGGATCACCTGAGGTCAGGAGTTTGAGACCAGCCTGGCCAACATGGCAAAACCCCGCCTCTACTAAAAATGCAAAAATTACCCGGGTGTAGTGGTTGGTGCTTGCCTGTAGTCCCAGCTACTCAGGAGGCTGAGGCGGGGAATCACTTGAACCTGGGAGGTGGAGGTTGCAGTGAGCTGAGATCGTGGCACTGCACTGCAACCTGAGTGACAGAGCAAGACTGTCTCAGAAATAAATAAATAAATAAAATAAAATAAAATAAAAATCCCACAACCTGTACAGAGGCCACAACGTACCTGAAAAACCTCTGCATGTGTAATGTATAGTGAGAAGGCTAACAAATCTGGTGCTTAGAGAATAAGGGAAATGGTAGCTTGAGATAAGCCTGTCTGAAGAGGTAGGCAGGTGCCTTGTGAACATTATTATAAATCCAGTGGGAAGCCACCGAAGAGTTTTGGGCAGAGGCATTTTCGTCTTTGAAAGATCACTCTGGTTGTGGTGTGAAGATGGAATTGGAGGGGAATATGAGTGGATTCAGAAAGATCATATAGAATGCTATTGCAGTGTTATAGGCAAGAGATGATGATGGCTTAGACTAAGGGCATGGCAGTAGAGATAGGAATATTGGGAATATATTTTGGAGACCAAAATGAAAAGGCTTGGTGCTTGATTGTATATGAGTGGCAAGAGTAAAGGACTTCTGGGTTTCTAGCAGAAGCAACTGAGTAGATGGTTGGAGAATGGGAAACACTGGAGGAGGAACAGTGAGGGGAGAATAATCCAAGATTTCAGTTTTGGATGTATTGAATTTGATAAGATTGTGAAGCATCCAAGTGGAGATATTGGATAGATAGTTGGGTATATTGGCCTAGACTCAGAAGGAAGATCTGGGCTGGAAATGTAAAGGTGCAAGTCATCAGCATAAAAGTGATATTTATAGTCATGGGATTAGGTGAGATTCGGGACCAAGCTTAAAGGTAATCCAACATTTGTAAGTTGGGTAGAGGGGACAGAGCCCCAGAGAAGATTGACAAGAGGCCTGGCACAGTGGCTCATCCCTGTAATCCCAGCGCTTTGGGAGGCCAAGATGGGTGGATCACTTGAGGTCAGGAGGTCAGATCAGCCTGGCCAACATGGTGAAACCCGAGGTTACTTGGGAGGCTGAGGCAGGAGAATCCCTTGAACCCAGGAGACAGAGGTTGCAGTGAGCCAAGATTGTGCCACTGCACTCCAGCCTGGGCAACAGAGTGAGACTCCATCTCAAAATAAATAAATAAATAAATAAATAAATAAATAGGAAAACACAATAACAAGATGGCTGAATAGGAGGAACAGCTCCAATCTGCAGCTCCCAGCAAGATCAACTCAGAAGGCGGGTGATTTCTGCATTTCCAACTGAGGTACCTGGTTTATCTCATTGGGACTGGTTGGACAGGGGGTGCAGCCCATGGAGGGCGAGCCAAAGCAGGGTAGGGCATCGCCTTACCTGGGAAGCACACGGGTTCTGGGTATCTCCCTCCCACAGCCAAGGGAAGCTGTGAGAGACTGTACTGGGAGGAATGGTGCACTCTGGCCCAGATACTGCACTTTTCCCATGGTCTTCGCAACCAACAGATGAGAAGATTCCCTCTGGTGCCTACCCCACCAAGGGCCCTGAGTTTCAAGCACAAAACTGGGTGGCCGTTTGGACAGACACTGAGTTAGCTTCAGGAGTGGTTTGGTTTTTTTTTGTTTTTTTTTTGTTTTTTCCATACGCTAGTGGCACTTGGAAAGCCAGTGAGACAGAACTGTTCACTCCCCTGGAAAGGGGGCTTAAGCCAGGGAGCCAAGGGGTCTGGCTCAGCGGGTCCCACCCCCATGGAGCCAGCAAGCTAAGATCCACTGGCTTGAAATTCTCACTGCTAGCACAGCAGTCTGAGGTT